CTAAAGGGAATATAAAAGATATCCCTATATATGTTAGGATTTACATAATCACATTCCTAATCTAATTGCAACACAAACAATATTAAATACACTAATGAGGAGAGGTGAGCTTAGCCTCACAATGGGCTAGTAATAATGTGATTCAAACTCGCATTTGGTGAGAATCGAACCTAAGATCTCTCACTTACAAGTGGAGAAGAATATCATTAGATCGTAGTACTAAGTGGCTCTAGATAACAACTTTTAAAAACTATTTTCATAAAAAGTGAAGTTGAGCCTTTAATGCAGATTTTCAACTCCTGTAATATTCTCATAGTTTAAGAGTGACATTATCTTTGTAAACACTTTATCCTTTAAATAACACCATCATCATCATTGTCACCACCACCAATGACATCACCACCATCATTGTTGCCAGCAGTGCTGCTGCGGCCACCACCACTATTGCCACCACTGCTACCTTTAGATCATAACCACCACACTCTATTATTGCCACTACCACGACACCCACCTTTTTGCCAATGCCCATGACCCCACTGTTGCCACCACCCCCTACTATAATTTGCTTAACATATACAATTATATTACTTACATTAAAATTTCTCAAACGCTACGCTTTTACACTGCTTTTGATACTCACGATAGTTTTAAGAATACAGTTTATTAAATACTACATTGATTTATTTTACAACAGATTATTCTTAAAGCACAGATGAAACAATTTGAAAAAAAAAAAATCATAGCAATCCTAAACTGGCCCTTAGAAACATGAATAAATGATTAATACTTAATTCCCCATAAGAGGAATAAACATGTTTCATTATTTGTAAATAAGTAGTTGGCGTGGCGTAAAGTAAAGATTGAGGGAAGTAGAGCAAAATTTTCTTTTGGGGTATTCTAAAGGTGTAACCTAGCTTCATTGTATAAATTTTATGTTTAATTTTTCAATATTTATCTCAAGATATTCTTACAAAAAAAAAAAAACCAAACATTAAATTGTTTAGTCATCATGAATTTTATGTTATGTGATGCTTACACCATCTTTTTTTCCCATACATTTAGATGCATAAACAATCTCTAATCAAATATTTTATAGGAATAGATCTTCAAATGAAGATTAAGAAAATGAACGGTTTTGATTATAAAATTTATTAGGCAAAGATAGTTAGTTGTAAATGGTCAAACATATGCATTCCTTTCATGAGCGAATGCATGTATTATTCTAAAAGAATTTACCATGATATGTCGCTTGAATAACAAAAAAAAATTATTTCTTTCCGGACACATTATATATCTTAGATTACAACCTATATATACGTGACACTACGTGAATTTAGTAACTATATCGATAAATTTGCAAGGTAAAACTATTTCCACTATTTTTTCACAAATCAAGTTGTAATTCTCATTGCTTAATATTCACCTATATAACCTGTCGAAGATAATTTCATAAATTTTTTATATAATTATTGGAAAAGGAAAAGGGAATGAGGGATATCCAATGACATGTGAGATAAGAAGGTTCTTTGTTTCACCTCGAAGTGCTCGAAATCCAATTATGCCGTGCCCTGCAAGGATTAGCAGCTGCAGCAAATCGAGGACCACTGGAAATAGGTTGACGAGTTGAGTCCCAGCTCGATCTCTATTATGTCACCCTTTGTGAAGATTATCAATGTTCTTTTGCCAATCCCCCAATTCCCAAAGGAGGCTTTGTTCCTCACAATATATGTCTATCTCAATCCATTATCCTGATCTGGTGCATTGTCATTCAGACGGTGCAAATATATCCCCTCCATATCCATGACGTATATTTATGCACATACCTTATCATCCTATTCTTACTTTTCTATACATCACCAAGACTAACCATCGTAGACATCGCATATAATTGCCAACTTGGCAACCCATATACCACAGTAGAAAAGTTATGTATTAGGTTATGTTTACAATCTTAGCAAATCATATTAGAGAAATGTCAGTCAGTCAACATTGAATGTTGAATGATTTCGTATTGGTCGAGAGATTTAGATTAAAAACAACCCCTAAGTTGTCCTTAAATCGTGCTTAGACGCCTAGGCGTTATATCGTGCTTAGTGCCCCTACTTAACTGGAACCTAACGCTTTTTTAAAACCTAGCTTAAAAGTTATGATTTCGAATCCCAAGGACCTAGGTGAAAGTGGATAACCCTATCTCCTTAACTAGCAATCTTATCCTGGTTACATATGCATATTGGATGTGCCACCACTAATACTTTTGAATTCAAACTTCTTTCTTCCATGGCTCTAATCATATATTTATTAACCCTTCTCCTTTCCTTTTACATTATTTCCATGCAGCGTAGGTTGGTTATGAAAGTTGTTGAAATTTACATAAACCATATGTAAACTAGATACAAGGAGTATAGCTGATCACCTGATGATTAGGCTGTAGGAAGTTTTATATTAAAGATACACTTAGGTCAATGTTCTCATGCCAAATTTACACACACATATATATATATATAGTTTTATATTAGAGATACACTTATGTCAATGTTCTCATGCCAAATTTACATATATATATATATATATATATATATATTGGTAAAGAATAAATTTAAATTTCTTGATGATGATAATTCAATCAACATCCATATTCAATGGCTTAATGATTAGACAAAAAGAAGTCCATATCTAAAATACCGAATAGTTACGTCAAAATTCTCTTGCCAAACTCGTATTGTCAAATAATGAATCTAAATTTTTCAAAGACGAACAATACACATCTTATATCTGATGACCTAATGATTAGGCTATAGGAACTTTCATGTCTGAAGTACCGTATAGTTATTTCAGTATATATTCTTCTGCTCGTGTTATATTGTTGAAGTTTTATTTAAATTTATTATATAAAATATAATAAATGTCTACTTCTACTAAAAAAAACACATAATATTATTGGTATTCATTGCAGAATTGAATGGCATATACATTATAAGATATTAGAACATATTGAAAACAAACGGAAAGGAACAAACACACATAATAAGTGTTCATCTAGTATTGCAACATGTCTCTACAATTTATTGAAAAAATAAATACATAATGAAAGTTATATATTTTTTGTATAAGTCAGAGCTGCGACCTAAGCTGCGCTTAATTTTCCAATGCCTAAGAATTTATTGGGGTGATAGCCAGTTGCATGCCTAGTGCTTAAGCGGGGCCTAGACAATGCTAGGCGAGATTTTTTAGAATTGTGCTCTTAAGCATCCTTCATTGATACTCATCACCATCTACTAACATCGAAGGACAGCGCTAGGTGGAAATTCTTACAACAGTGCTCTTTTAAGTACCCTTCATTTATACTCACCACCACCAATCTAACAAACTCTTGCAGCCCTCTTTACGCAATAAAAGGAATCTTTATATATGTGATTACTTAATCCCCAAGAACCCTTTTTACCCAGTCGAAGGGGTAAGGTATAAAACATACATATATTTGAGAACTGAAGAATTTGCATACAAGGGAAAGTTCGACCTAATACTACGCAACAAATTAAGTTTTCTCTTCAGTTATCCATATGCGTCTCAGATGTCCTGACACATGTATGTAATGTTACAGGCTCCGTGTGTATTTATCTACATCTGTCACGGTTTTGTGACTTTGGCACATGTTCTTCGTTGACACTTGGAGAGAGACTCATTACCCAGAAAAAGAAAATCGTAGAACAAGGCGATTGAAGGACAAAACCGACAAACTAACTGTGGTAGCTAGCAGAATTCGAGATTTCATTTTGGGTAATGTTAGAGAAACTAAATTTGGAGACAAAGTTTTGAAAACTAAATGACATGAAATTAATGATTGATTTTTTACTTTAATATTGATAAACATGTTTATTTCTATTGGTGACATATCATTTAGTTTACAAATTGAGTTTTCAAATTTAATCTCCCCAACATTACTCTTCACTTTCACTTTTACTGGAGGATGAATGTGACAAATGTTCGACTCAATCTCATCGCATTCACATGCAACTAATTAAGAATAGCTTTTTTTTAAATAAATAAATCACGAATCTTATCAACTTCATGTTAAACAATTATTTATTTTTTTTTAACAAGATTACAAGAAACGAACGGAAAGGGATCCTCTCTGGATTCCTTCCATCAAATCCACCAAATCATCTAATCTGGACCCTTGAAATTTGATCAAACGGCTAAAGTTATTATAACTTTTTAAAAAGTCTCATGTTTGTAGCCGTTTAATTAAATTTCAAGGATCCAGATTAGATGATTGGGTGGATTTGATGGAAGGGATCCAGAGATGATCCCTTTCCGAAACGAACCAACAATGTACATCATCATAAATGATAAACACCTATACCATGATCATTGTGATTTTGTTTATTTGGAAATTATAGTTACTCCTAGTCCTAGCTTCTCAAGTTGTTTACCATGAATAGAGGAACCATTCAGCCCATTAATACCATTTTATATAGTGGCTAGTGGATGAGCATAGTAAGCAGGCATGAATATATAGCTAGCGCTAGCTAACATAGTTGATCGGTAGAAACCAGAAAGCAAACTGGAGATTAATTAAGTGTGGCCTAGGCACATCTGAGGCAGTTGGATAACAAAACAATAATAATATAAAACAGAAAAACAGAATCAGTTATTCATAATCTGACATAATTAAAAATCGTGATATCATTTCCAAATTGGAAGAACAAGACAATTATGCATGGTGATACAGGATAGTTAGAGAAGTGCATGCCATCACCCTACGTGCCTGCAAATGCTGCTCCCATGGGACAAGTTTCGCTCCTTTTCTGCAAGATAACAATGAATCTATTTATTACAATTTATAAAAATTTGAAATTAATTTTGAGAAAGCACAGTGGAAATTTCTTGAATTTTGTTTCTTTCTTATCCGCAAGGGTAGAGTTTTATCAATGTCACAAGAATTCTTACCTCCCCACTGGCGTTATATATGTAGGACTTTGGAGGAGGTTCCTCAACTCCTCCTAGTAGTTGTTTAACAAAGCTCATATACCAAAACAAGTTCTAGCCATGGCTGCATCTTACTCAGTGCCTTCAATGGTAAGCCTTCAACAGCCTTCCTCCCATTTCATTTCCTCCAATTTTCTAATAGTTGTCTTTGCTAGTGAGTCTCTACTAGGAATTTTCTAAGTTTGAGCTATTTCTGTAGTACATTATAATGGTGTTAAAACGCTTATATATTCGGTTTCATGTCCTTGGTTTTGCCTAGTTTTTCTGTGTTGATTCATGGTTTATATATGTAAGTTTTGTAGCCCTCATCACCAAACAAACTTCGATCTTGAGGTCGTGTAATGAGCTCTCACAGTAACAGGTTCTAGGTGTGAGACCTATTATTGTTCGAAGGTCTCACACCTTTTCTACGGCGCCGAGAGCTAGACCTTTTAATCAGAGTCAATGTGATTAAAAAAGAGACGCAATTCAATTGCAACACTTGAATCCCCCAGTCACAGTTAGTCTACAAGGAATTGTTGCCAGTTGAATTAAAGATATAGGGGTTCATTTGGTCAAGGAGGAGCTTAGCACACTTAAAGTTGATAAATTTGCTAATAAGTAAAAAGCATAGCCTAAATTATGTCCTAAATTTACATTTCTCTTTATAATGGTTATGTATGCTGTTGTTGTTTTGAAGAACCGTACCTCGATAAAATTTTGGTTAGCATTAAGTCTAGATATTGGAATAAAAAAATAAATGAATTTCCAATTTAAATGAGCTAAAAAATTAGGCACGCAAATTGGTTTTCCACATGTTCGTAACTAGTGAGAATTGTGTATACAGATAATGGAAGAAGAAGGAAGGTTTGAGGCAGAAGTCGCGGAGGTGCATGCATGGTGGGGCTCAGAAAGGTTCAAGCTCACAAAACGACCATACTCAGCTAGAGACGTTGTGGCGCTAAGAGGCACCCTAAGACAAAGCTATGGCTCAAATGAAATGGCCAAAAAGCTGTGGAGAACTCTCAAAATTCACCAAGCCAATGGCACATCCTCAAGGACTTTTGGTGCCCTAGACCCCGTCCAGGTCACCATGATGGCCAAGCACTTGGACACAATTTACGTCTCTGGTTGGCAATGTTCGTCCACACACACCAGCACCAATGAGCCTGGTCCCGACCTTGCTGACTACCCTTATGACACGGTCCCAAACAAGGTGGAGCATTTGTTTTTCGCTCAACAATACCATGACCGCAAGCAAAAGGAGGCAAGGATGAGCATGAGCCGGGAGGAGAGGGCTAGAACCCCTTATGTTGATTACTTGAAGCCAATCGTTGCTGATGGTGACACTGGTTTTGGTGGCACCACGGCGACTGTTAAGCTTTGCAAGCTTTTCGTGGAGCGAGGCGCTGCTGGTGTTCACATTGAGGACCAGTCATCTGTGACAAAAAAATGTGGTCACATGGCTGGGAAAGTGCTTGTTGCTGTTAGTGAACATATTAACAGACTTGTGGCTGCAAGGCTACAATTTGATGTTATGGGAACTGAGACTGTATTGGTGGCTAGAACCGATGCGGTTGCAGCTACATTGATCCAGACCAATGTGGACACTAGGGATCATCAGTTTATATTGGGGGCTTCGAACCAAAATCTTAGAGGGAAGAGCTTGGCTACCCTTTTGGCTGAAGCAATGGCCGCTGGCAAAACAGGAGCTGAGCTGCAGGCCCTCGAGGACAACTGGACTTCAATGGCACAGCTGAAGACATTTTCAGAATGTGTCACTGATGCAATCAAGGCCATGAACCTTGGCGAACATGAAAAAAGGAGGAGATTGAGTGAATGGATGAGCTATTCTAGTCCTAAAAAGTGTTTGTCAAATGAGCAAGGGCGCGAAATCGCTGAGAAGTTGGGGCTTAAGAACCTTTTCTGGGACTGGGACTTGCCTAGAACAAGAGAAGGGTTCTACAGGTTCAAAGGGTCTGTGATGGCAGCTGTCGTGCGTGGATGGGCTTTTGCTGACCACGCTGACATTATTTGGATGGAGACTTCGAGCCCCAATATGGTTGAGTGCACCCAATTTGCTGAGGGGGTGAAGAATAAGCAGCCTGAAATCATGTTAGCTTATAATCTTTCACCATCTTTCAACTGGGATGCATCTGGGATGAATGATCAGCAAATGATGGACTTTATTCCTAGGATTGCCAAGCTTGGCTACTGCTGGCAATTTATTACACTGGCCGGTTTCCATGCAGATGCGCTTGTGGTTGATACTTTTGCGAGGGACTATGCGAGGAGGGGAATGCTGGCTTATGTTGAAAGGATCCAGAGGGAGGAGAGGAACAATGGAGTTGACACACTTGCTCATCAGAAGTGGTCTGGTGCTAATTTCTATGATAGGTACCTCAAGACTCAAAATTCTGTATGGAAAAAAAGTTCACGTGTTCAAGAAGAAGGCGATCCTTAATGATCGAGACCAAACAATCTCAATTTTTTGGTGCCTTGTAATTAACTGGGTTTGAATATTATTGACAAGAGATTGGATGAAATTGGATGTTTAAAGTGATTAGAGTTTTATACAATTTGATTTTGCAAAAATAAGGGATTCGGTATGACATGAAACCTTCTTCTCTCTTCTTATCTTTTTGTTTTATCAATTAGTACTTTGTTTCTATGTAACAAGAATTATTTATATCTATTGTAAAATTATTATTAAGCTCATATAAAAAAGACCTCACAAATCTTTAAGATGATGACTTAAGATAGGCTTGGCAATTTCTGACACGACCTGTTAACTCGACACGAAACGACACAAAATTAACAGGTTACCAGGTCAACATGATAACAAATCGGGTCGTTATCGAGTAACCCGATACACGATAAGCAAATTATTAATTTAATAATTTTATACCACTAAATTAATAATTATATATATATATAATTATATATAATATAAGTATATTAAACTAAATTTAGAAAATTTGGAAAAGGAGGTAATATATTTTTATATGGTATAGTACTATTGTTTTATTTATTTTCATAATTATTTTGGTAAACTTCTCATAATTTGAATGGTTTATAATGTTTGGTTTTTCTATACTTAGTTTATACATAACAGAGTTCTGATGCGGAAAACCTTACCAAAAACATCATCAACATAAGTCTTGAAGGCAATATATCAAGCCAAAGTTCCAATACAATTTCCCCATGATGATCGATGAAAATTGAAGGAATTTATAAAAGAAATAACATGCAAGCTTAGATTTTCATTGGAAAGGTTTTAACTTCTGAGAAAGGTTTCGCAACCTTGAAAGAAAAGCTCCTTCATTTTGCATATCCTTGCACATTTGATATTTTGTAGTAGACTAGTAGTGTATTCGTGCTTTTTTATTAGGCTCTTATTTTGGAGTGTAAATGTAGTACTTAACGACAAATGTGTTTTTATGTTTTGAAGTAATATTTATGTGGCAATGTGGTACGTGCAAATTTAAGGAAAAAAATTATTTTTCTTAAAGGGTCATACCGAGTTGGGTCATTTTACCTGTTGGGTAAAGTGACCCGACTTGTTAAGGATCTGTTAAGATAACGGGCGTGACACGACACGATATGTTAAGATAACATGTGTTACACGAAAACGATACGAAACACGGCAAACACAACNGCTCTTC